TCGTCAGAAGCCGGTGAACATCGATGTAACCGCGACTCTGCCCAGCGGTGGCTGCCCCACTGTCGGGCCGCATCATTCCGAAATTATAGCCGGGCATCGAGGCGCGTTTGCGCGGCACAAATGCGCCGTGAAAGAAATCCTGACAAGGGTGGGAAGATCGGTAGAGGGGCACCGTGCGAACGCAGAAGGACGAACAGGAGACGAAACTGGGCGGTGCACGGTTCAGCTCCGGTAGCTCGAAACTCCGCCCAGATTCCCAGCGGCTTGGAAACGATCGAGTCGGCGCACCAGAGATTCTTTGCGTCTCTTTTGCAACCGACGCGCGCGCCCCGCTCCCGACGAGAGCCGAGGGGAACCCCCTGACGCCTTATCGGCGAACCGGGCGGAGATGTTCGATAAATTTCGGTACACCATCCGCGGGCGTCCGTCCTTTCTGGCTGGCTCTAAATCTGACGGGCTGTCGCAATATTGTTCCACGATGCGCGACCGCGCCTGCCTTTTTATTCGGTTATTTCATTCCGACCGATTCGCCTTTCATTCGGAACATTATTCCTTGGTCGATCTTGATATTTTATTTTGGTATACATATCGTCGCCCGTGAGGTTTTTCTTTGTCGTGCCCGGGGCTGCCTTCGAGTGCTTGTCCTTCGCGGTATAAAAACAATAAAAGGACAGCAAGGAATAGATAGAGTTTTGTGGGTTTTTTTTTTGAAAATATTGCTGCGTATGAGATGACTCACGTTTTTGGTAACATTTCATCCGATTTACGGGGAAATATGTGTGTACCCTCGCGAGCAAACTCGGCTTCCGATGGGGGAGAAAGTAGCGTAAGAGAAAGGCCTCCTACCAATTGGTAAATTTATTTCAAGTACTGATATAAATGTTAAATCGAACGTTAATTTGGCATAAATTTCAGGAATTCCCGGATATCAAGTGGTAGGACGTCCTCATCCCTACGACGATTTTTCCCCTAGCGAAAGTCAAGTTTGCTCGTGGGTGTACATTATATTTTCTTTACTTCAAAGAAGCGGATGATGTTTGACGATAATCACAGTTGACATATAATGTCAATATGCACATTGATAGTTCGTCTTTTTTTTATGTGTAGTAAAGTTGCCGAATTTGTTATAGAAAGCAATTTTGAATTTTAATTTGTGGTAAGAGCAAGGATTTTCTCACCTAGTCATGACAAACAGGATCACTCTGTTGTTTGAGCAGATGATTGCACCATCTTCATAGACTAGAGTAGATTTAATTTTAACCTCAAACAATGATATTCAGTATAACCACAATGGCGCAAATATAAGTTCATCTGTGTATATAAAGACGACAAAGTATCTTGGGCTCACATAATGCATACCTTTTTAATAATTACCATAGGTATTCTTCTTCAAAATTCTCTTATAATCGCCACTGTACAACATTTTACACCAACCTAATATTTGGTACAGTGCACGAGTAAGTAATAAAAGTCATTCGTAAACATAGTTGAAAGGAGCAGAACTACATGGTCAGCGTAAATCGTAGGACGCAATGTAATATAAAAAACTTCGCCAGTGGCCGTCAGACCGCCTATCTCCTCGACGATAGTTCCGTTCCGAAATCTGTTTCGCAATACATATATATACAGTACACTTGAAATATGTTCGGATCCCTTAGAGGTTTATTAAAGAGACCAATAAACGCCAGCAATGAAATGCGAGCGGTAATGAAGATTATTTAGAGATTTATGTAAGGAGAGACCAGCCCGTGAATTTAGGCGCTATATTTAAATCTTAAACTATTATGTAAGCGTGGTTGTGGTCGTACCAATGAACGTATGCATATAGTTACGGTCGTAGTTATAACTACGAACTGCATAAATCGTTTTTCTGGTACGTGATCCAAATAATGAACGTATACATTTTTTTATTAGGTCTCAACTTATTTTCACAATGAATTTTGAAACAATTCAGGACTGATTTTTAATTACTGATATTATAGTGTTTGTAATCATTTTAGCGTGTATGTTACGCATATCAAACGCTTACGAATGCGCAAACCACTATAAAGAAAGCATTATTTTATTAAAAATTCAAATTGTTTGGCTTTTATATTCTATGTTTTCTATGTTTTCACTTTCGAAATATTGTCCGTTTAAAGTTCTGAACACCAATTCTTCTTATTAGCATTCTTTTATATATTTCCTTCAGTTTGCATAATATTATAGTATACTTGCATAGTATTCTCAAAATTTTGTGGACTTACGTTATTTTGTCTAATGAGTATGAATAGAATATTGGATTTCGGTGAATTTTTGGAACATACAAAATTTCTATTTGTTCATTTTTTTTCTGACGAATATATAAATCCTATATTCTACAGCTCGATTCATGCACAAACTCAAATTTTTTGAAATTGAAACATGCGGTGCGTTTCCTTACAGCCACAGACTTTTGGACGGTACTGTATATATATTAATCTACTAGAGTTCGTCAACGTTCCCGTGCTGACGAGGCTGACTATACTGTAATTTACATTATCGTTCGATAAGTAGAAGCACAATGTGCTATCCGTCATGCACCGGTATGCACGATAAAAACCGTACTTGCAGTATTACGATGTGACCCCTTTCTTATAATAACTGGTTCAAGTACTATAATTATATGAGTTCGCGCCTGGATTAACAGAACCTTCTATGCACGTAAAGTTTCACGAAGCATTATTCTTCACTCTTGTATCGTATAAATTTGAATGTATAATTACTATCAATTATTAACAAATTTCAAATCTTTATAGAAATTCCTGTTTTCATAAATTATATTATGAAAGTCAGAATCCGAGAAAAATTTACTTGATCATTCGTACCAAGTATCTAGTACAATAAGTTGAAATGAAATATAATTCGGTTTAATACTTATTGAATTTTTTGTTTTACATTTTACACGCTTGTATTTATCATAAATGTAGTAGGTTCAAAGTTCAATAATCATAAATATTAGATATTTTTACAATTGGTTTATACGTAATCGTAAAGAGTACTCGTATGTTTCGAGAGGCGAATTTTGAGTGGCTGTATCACCCTTTCAAACCGTTCTTTTCGCCAAAACAAAACAAAATGCGTGTTCAATAATTTTTAATTTTCCACAAATTCATGCTAGTTTGAATGAAAAAAATTGTTCGTTCTGAGGATGTTCCTTTGTAAATTTAGCGAAGTTTTTATTTTTTTTTTAAGTAAATTGACAGATGCCTTTCTAGAGTGAACCAACATTTTTTCAGTTTCAGTTTCGTTATATTTTCCCACGAATGTCTATATTTGCATAAACATCCACAGTACTAATATGTGTCACACCGCAGAGCGGAACTTTCGTTATCGTCGCAATAACAACAAACAAAAAAAAGACGTCTGTGCCCGAATTTCATTTGTCTGGTACTGTTATACATATCGGTGAGAAAGAAAGTGGACCGATTAACACGTAGAAAGCGATTCGCCGCGATGTTATAACTTTTTACGCGGAGAAGG